CAACAACAACAACAACAACAACAACAACAACAACAACAACAACAACAGCAGCAGCAGCAGCAGCAGCAGCAACTTCTCCAACAGCAGCAACAGCAAAATCAACACCAACAACAACAACATGTGATTGAAAAAGAGGTTCAGAGGGAGAGCGCCAGAATGTTGATAGTTTTAGAAAATGGCGAGCAACGTCTCATCACATTCACGCTGCCGAAGGAAAGTTGCACGGTCCAAGAGTTGCTTGAGCAAATTGGCGTCCCATTCGAACCGGATACAAATATTCACTGTGTGGCGCAGCCTGGTCTCAACATCGACTATTTGGTGACGGTTGGTGTGAATCTGACGGAAACGCCAACGGAAATTATCACAGCCGCCGAAAATTCCATACAAATGAAACAGCATGAGCAGCAAATCTATCAAAATCAACCGCAAACAATGCAGATTTTACAAAATCATGCACAACAGTCGCCGGCACAGAAACTCCTTCAAAAGGTTTCAGTTCAACAACAGGCATTGCAACAACTTCAAAAGGTTCAACCTCAACTCGTGTCTCATTCTTTGTCCAAGTGGCTGTTACAAACAATCAAAACAATATTAATTTAAACTATGTTTTTAGAAGCAGAATAATGTGACCATCACGAAGACAACGGTTCCACCAAAGTATGTTTTGGGAATGTTTGCCTTATGCGCTGCCTGCGGATACACAAGCCAGAATCATGCACAATGCCAACGGTTAGTTTAGAAAAAAAAAAGGAAATTTTTCTATGGATTTGTTGTATATTAACGCTCGTTATCCACTCGCAGATGCTTCCGAGTTTTCACCGAAGAACCGAAAAAGATTCCAATGACAAACACACCAACGGTAACTCAGCAAAAGCCCAAAACGACAGCGGCTGCAATGAAAACGCTGGCTTTGATTGAGAAGCAGAAAAGTTTGGAACAAATCCAGAAGAAATTCCAACTTTCCGAAAGTTTGAAGTAAGTGCTCGTAAATTTATTCGTTTTTAATTCGGCGATGTAAGGGAATTTCGAATCGCATTGTCCGGGTGCAATAAGGGAAAGAAATCGTTATTGCAGTCACATACCGATGCAATAGAATACATCTGCAGAGCATTGTGTCGGTTATCCTCCAATATTTCAGTACTTTTATTTTGACTCGGATTCTCAATCGAATGCTCATTTTTAACCATGTTAATGAAATGTCTTCATTGTTTCCATTCATAGGACGCCAATTCGTACGCGAATTCCGATACAGCGAGCAAATACCACCATAACAAAGAGATCGAAAAAGACCGAAGAGCCGGTTATTCTAACGTTAAGCAGTGACGAAGAAGATGATGAAAAATCCATTTCAAAGGTGAGTCTAGTATAGTACTTTCTGTTGAATATTCCGAAAAAAATTGCAAAATCCAACGACAATAGCAAAAAAAAAAAATTGAAAGATAATTTGCCATTCAACTAATCTGTTCTTAATCAATTTGTGTCATCTTCAATAGGAGAACGAACAGGGCGATAGGCTCTTGTCATTTGAGCCAATTTTAAAGGAGAACATTGAACCAAGCGGTAAGTCTGCAAATGAAATCAATTTTATTAAATTTTCAAAAAAAAAATTCAAAAATTCGTCAATTTTTAATGGATTTTCAAGGGAAAACATTTTTTTTTTAAATACAAAACGTGTGAACCCGACTTCACATGAATGGGCATGGTATACATTAGTTGTTGTGTAAGTGTCAAAATGCTTCTCCACCCAACTTCATGTCAAGCAACTAAAAACCCGATTGATTAACCTAAAAAAATTACTTCAGTCAGAAACACATTGAACAACAAAATTTCATTGTATATCGGGTGCTCTATCATCGTTTTAGAGTTTTTTTCTCGTTAGTTAGTGATTTTGAAATTAAACAAGTCAAAAATTTCTTGTGAAAAAGAATTGAAAATGTCATGTAAGTAAATGCGATGGGTTTGCCGGAACGTCGATTGGAAGCAGTTTCATTTCAATGGCGTCAAAAAAAATGAAACTAAAAAATGCGTATTATTTAGACCATAGTTGCCGGAAATTCTCTCAATTGAACGTGCTTGATTGAAAAAAGTCATTGTCAAAATGTTTGATGCGAATATTTGTTTGTCTGATTCGTTTTCAGATTTTGTGCGTGAAGATGTAATTGATCTTAAAGATACGAATGAAAAGTTGACAGGCCGAATCAAGGCGGAGCATATTTATTTGGGAACATATAAATATGAGCCGACTGAAGATTTGGTATTTACGTGCAAGGGTTTACGTTTGATGGCGCCACATTGCCAGCATCCAAAGGAAAAAGTGATTTTGAACATTCAAAAATCGGAAATCGCCAAAGTCGTCTGCAATTTTGCACAGAAATCCGTGCTTGTCATTTATGTGTTGAACACCTGCGGCAAATACATTCGCGAAGAGCTGGGAATGTCTTCGGAAACTGAAGGTAAATGAAAAATTCGACATGTTTCTTAATCGTGCTGCTCTAACAAGTCGTATGCTTGTTTTTCTTCATCTTCATTTGAATTGAATAGGTGTTTACTTCAGCCCTATGTCATCGACAGTCGGCGAAAAGCGGATAATGATTGAAGGTGAAGTGAGCGAAACGGCCAAATCTGTGATAAAATCCATGTTCTCATCGAACATATTGGAGGAAATTTCCATAAGTGATACGTCAATCATAAAAACTCAAATTAAGAATGCGGTCAATTCGGTGGGATCGAGCAGTGATGGTGCGCTCAAGGCGGAAAGTAGCGATGGCGTGTGTAATATTCTAATCTATCCGCCGACCGGCAAAGGTGGCATACCAATCAATACAAAAGACTTTATTTGCTTGGGCATTGATCAGTATTTGAACGATGTTATCATCGATTTCTACCTAAAATATGTTCATATGGAAGTGCTGACCGAAGAACAGCGCAACAAAACCCACATCTTTAGTACATTCTTCTACAATACATTAACTAATACGAAATTACTGGGGCAAACGAAAGATGTCAAGTTGACACCCGCTCAGAAGCGGCATGAACGTGTTAAAAACTGGACAAAAAATGTCAATATTTTCGAGAAGGATTTTATCATCGTTCCAATCAATCAACAGTCGCATTGGTATTTGGCCATCATCTGCTTCCCATCGCTACGGGGACCGGTCACAATAGCTGGCAATCAAGCGGTTAAGTTGACGCCGATCGTTAAGAAAAAGACAACGGCCGAGCGAAAAGAATCGGTCGCCCTACAAATCGGCAATACAACCATCACTCCGGTTTCAAAGAAGGAATTGGACTCGATTTGCCTCGATGAGGAAAGTGAACGTGATGAGGCCGAGGGTGATGACAGCGAAATGGAGAGTGACGATAGCGATAGTGAAACAATCGAACCACAGCCAGCCACTCAAGCCATTAAACAGTGAGCAATTTTTACCACTTCCTTCCGTTGATATCAATTTTATTAGATAATTGATTCTCCTTTTCTCTCTCTCTCTCTCTCTCTCGCTGCAGTCCATGCATTTTGATATTTGATTCGCTGGCGGGTGCATCCCGAACCCGAGTCGTGGCCACTCTTCGCGACTATTTAACGTGTGAATACAGGGCAAAAGTAAAAGGTGGCAGCGATCACGATTTTACGCGATTTAACATTCAGGGTCATCAGATTAAAGTTCCTCAACAAACGAATTTCACCGATTGCGGTCTCTATGTGCTGCAATACGTCGAATCATTTTTCACGGTACGTTCATCTCCACCTTTTTCCAATCGACTGAACTTCATTCAGCAGTTCATGACATTTGACAATAATATTGATTCTCATACACACAGGATCCAATTAAAAACTATCGCCTGCCCATTAAGCAACTAATCAACTGGTTCGACACACTCGTTGTGACCAAGAAGCGTGAAGACATAGTGAATTTAATCAAAAAGAAAATGGTGGAATATAATCGAAATGTTACGTTGCCCGAAATTCAACTGCCAACTGAGGATGGCAAACTGCTTGAATTGCCCGACTTCACTGAAGAGCACGGCGAATTCGAGGAGGAAGAAGAAATGGACAACGAAATTCCAGAGGTAAATTTCTGGCGAGATTTGCAATCATTTTGGTGGACGATAGCTTAAAATTTGTGCTCTTTCCATTAGCAGGAAACTCCACAGCAGCAGCAGCAGGCGCAGCCTCAGCAGCAGGCTCAGCCTCAGCCTGAGCCTCAGCCTGAGCCTCAGCCGCAACAACCACCACCACCACCACCACCACCGTCACAACAGCAGCAACAAATCGTTGCCGAAAAGGCACTAGGGAAACCAGTCCAAAAGAAGCGAATATTCGTGAAAAAAGCGGCGAATGTCAATGACAATGGTGAAGCAACAACAAAAAAGCGACGGACGTAAAACCTGATGACACAGCGAAACGTTTCGTTAGATATCCTAAGATAAAAATTTAATTTATTTTCTATGGAAAAGAAAACAATGATTCATTTTTTGCGGATGATTTTTTTGTGATCATCTTGCTTGTAGTAATTTAAGTTTCCACTGAACTTAATCATTTGTTATGGAATTCAATGCGGAAGGAAATTGTAAAGTGAACAAACAAAAGAAAAAAAACCATGGAATATTGTTTTGAAATTCAAATTGAAATAGCTTTGGTTAGCATGAACAACGCTATCCTTCCACATTTTTGTTGACAATTCGAAAGACAGAGACGAAATGAAAAGGGGAGGAGCAGAAAAAAACGAGCAATTTGTCTCACATATAATCGAGTACATGTTTTGAATTTAAAAATATCAATCAATAAATTAGTTACTTTTACAGAAAAGACAATGTGATTTTGTAGTTGATTTTTTTCACAGCCGCCGGTTTTATTACAGCTTCAGACTGATTATGTTGATAAGAAAATTTCGCAGAAGCAACCGCCTCTTCCACCAATTATTTAACGGCCTACAAGTAATTCAAATTAAATAAAGTGGTAATCGGAGATTCGAACCACAAAAAAACACCATGGAATTGTAATCATGTCATGAACATGGCACAAATACTCGCGACCAAATTTGCTGTTCCTTTCTAATGTGTCGCTATCGCTAAATGATGCCTGTGGTCGAAGCGAGATAAGAAATGCAAACAATGTTCATGTCATGAACAATGCTTGCACATAACCTCAAAACCGATGTAAACCCATGTAACGCAATCTCAATCACATGAGATGAACGTTTCGTGTGAAGTGCGTTTTGAAACGCATATCATGTCAACCGAATTGGAAAAGAAATCCTCAAATTGACACGAAAAATTCAACAATTCCACGATAATTATTCATTTGTATTGATCGATTTGACCCATTCGATCTAATGAATGAATAGGAAATCGTGTAAATGTTTCGATTGAATGCAACGCACGCCATCCGTACTGGTTGGTGCGATGATAATGCATATATTATTATTATATATATATATATATATATATATATATACATGAACAATACACACAGATCAAGAGTGTTGACTGTGTGCCGCTCTACGCGTGTATTCCGATTGACGTTTATTGCCGCATTGCTTTTCACAACCGTCACATTGGCATTACACACTCTCTCTGTGCATATTTCTATATTTTCATGTTTGTCTGTCTGAAGAAAGGAAAAAAAAAGTTTTTTCTTCTCGCTTCTCTCCCTTCGGTTGGTGTATCACACACAGTTAATACTGCTTCTTCTTCCAATGTGTTACTCGATTTCATTTGTTCTTTCTCAGTAGAAATTCCAAAAGTGCATATGGCGTCCCATTAAACTACCTGTTCCGCTGACATCATTTCATTTCGGGTGAAAAATATATTCTCGGTTCTTTATTAAATTTGTGCACGAAAAATACGTAGACACCACAGTGCAGTAAAAACATTTGACAATTTTTTTTGGTGCGAACAAACACAATTTCAAAGCAATTCAGTGGCAATTTTGTGGTTGGAAAATCGGTTTATTCTGACACTCGATTTTTTTTTATTTGAAAGTTCAGCTCTTGTCTCTGCTGGTTTTTTAAGGTGAGTACAATTAAAATAATGAAAAAAAAATTAAATAAAACAGACATGAACATTTTCTTGGGAACAATCCAACATACATGATGGTGTATTATTTTTGTTCGATATTAATGGTAATTTAATCGTTGCAATCGCGCAAGCAAAAGGGAGAAAAGTAATCATTTTCACGTTCGCTGCCAAAATTACAATTAAAAAGACGATACGATCGATTGTCAATAGTGAGTGCGTATTTGAGTTGATTATTTGATTTTTTCGCATATTCCAGTGTTGATACGATCAAAATAACATGGTTGATGTAATTTTCAATTATTACATGCAAATCGACATAACGTTTCCAAATCACATCCATCCATTGGTGTTGTGTTGTGTCGTCGTGCATTTTGAAATGCACCATTTTGGCTGCAAATAAACAGTCGGAAAAAAAATCATTTCATCCTTTTTTCTTTGATATATACATGTTAAGTCAGTGGACACAATCGATTCCATTTTTAGATCTCCAAAGCTGTTTTCGTTTCTTTTTGTTCAAATGCTTGTCTCTATCACATTTATACGAAGAAGTTACATGAAACAAGACACACAAAAAGAAACCTTCTGCTTTCGATAGATTTGAACGCAGTGTAAATATGCATGTAAATGTTAAATACATACAGCGTTTTGGGTACATACACAGATTCCAAAAATAAATTTGTTAAGTGTAAGAAAGAAAAGAAACACATGAAAAAAAACAACAAAGTCCCAATTGATTTAAGTGAGATGAAACAGCCTAGCAAAAAAAGTGTCATCGAGCCAAAGGGAATGTGTGGGCATGGTGCCAAGTATATATGTTGTTTTTGTTGTTGTTGTTTTGATGCTGATATTTCGTTTTTGTGAATGCGATAAATTGTGCGCGCCGCTTTATCTCCCATTGCACACAATTCACATTGATTCGGCCCATCGACCGATTCCATTTACAATGCAATTAATTCGTTCGATATGTTCATATTATCCTCGTACGTAGTGCACCTGCCCTAAACTACCAACTGTCATCGACTCAGACACGACGCAGATCCTTTTTTTTCTTTCTTGCCGATGTGTCTTCATTTGTGTGTTTCGTCGCCAAAGTGTAATTTAAGCTATTGCAACAGAAGATTAGTAACGTGAATACATGGCAAAACGAATACGATGTACTTTCATTTTCACATTTTGCTTGATGGCGACATGGACACGGAGGAAGACAAAATGAAAAGAAAAATCGACGACACAAATCGCATATACCCATTGGTACGACCTCATCTTGGTATTGCAATTGCAATACGACGCTCACGGTGTCGGTCAACACATTTGTGACTCAATTTGCGTTGTGCGTCTTTCAAAAAAAAAAGGTTTCTTCTTCTTCTTACCTAATTTTATTTTTACCCTGATTTGATAGCAAAATCACGAAAATATCATTTCAATCACTTGCAGTTGACCATTTAATCTCTATTCTCAAACATACACAGTAACAGAGAAAGAATGAAATAAATTTATTTCAAAATACGAGGAGCCGAATTGTGTATAATAGAAAAAGTGTGTTTTTGTGGACTGTTTACCAAGTTTTCCTTTTGTTGACTTAATTAACAATCTGAAGTATTGTAATCATTGATAATATTTACTAATATTTGCCTCACTGATTGTTACATATCAAATGCGAATGACCCGAGTCGTTATTGTTATTACTGCTGCTGCTGCTGCTGCTTTTTTCATTATTCAGCCATCGTCGCCGTCGCCGACGTCGTTGTTGTTGTCGAATAAGCACCCAGAATTAAGTTGATCGTATCAACTAAGCAAGCAGCTTTGTCGTTCGCGCGCGTACATACAATACAACATCAGAATAAATAATTTCCATATGCGCTATTATACCGATTATATATTGCTAGTGTTTTGATCATTTGTTTCGTTTCGCTGTTATTTTCACTCTCTTTGTTTTTTTTTTCTTCTTCTTCTTCGTTGTTGACAGTTTCAGCCAAGCAATCGCAATGGATAGCCCATGTGAATCGGAGAGCTCGTTGGATGGTGGGGTTATGTTACCGCCAAGTCCTGTATCACGCGAACAATTACAAAAACGCATCGAAAGTCTTACTCAACAGAATAGGTGAGTGTGAGGTCAATGTCGCGCGACCGATCGTCCAACCAACCGACCAACCGACCGACAAACAAATCTATTAAATTAACGAAATAATTGTGATGTAATCGCGTGTGTGTATAAAAAATATTCCCTTTTTTTTTCAAAATGATTCTCGTTCACACAGAGTACTTAAGGTAGAATTGGAGACGTATAAAATACGCGTCAAAGTATTGCAAGAGGAGAATCGATCACTTCGACAGGCTTCAGTGATCATTGTAAGAAACCTATTATTATTTGTGCTTAAAATAGCGCGATCTTTTGTTTTTGACCTTTCAATATTGTGTGTTTGTTGTCTGTTTTGTAGCAAGCAAAAGCCGAACAAGAGGAGGAGTACATTTCGAATACACTGCTGAAGAAGATTACAGCACTGAAAAAGGAAAAAGAAACATTGGCCCATCATTATGAGACTGAGGAAGAATGTTTGACCAATGATTTGTCCCGGAAATTGGATCAGTTGCGTCAGGAGAAATGCAAATTGGAACAGACGCTGGAACAGGAGCAAGAATGTTTGGTCAATAAATTGATGCGTAAAATAGAAAAACTCGAGGCCGAAACATCAGCCAAACAATCGAATTTGGAGCAATTGCGCCGCGAAATGGTCGAATTAGAAAATACATTAGAACAAGAACAGGAGGCTCTGGTGAATAAACTGTGGAAGCGAATGGATAAATTGGAAACGGAAAAACGATCTCTGCAAATTAAATTGGATGAACCGGTTTCCGATCCGACAACATTCAAAGACATCAACAACGGTGACACCGCCACCAATCTCAGTTCACACATTCAACACTTGCGATCGGAAGTGTTGCGGCTGCGCAGCAATTTGATGGCCGCTCAAAAGGAGACCAATCAAAAGATGCAGCAATTTGCCCAAGAAGAGAAAACAATTCGCGAAGAAAATCTACGCTTACAACAAAAACTACAGGCCGAAGTGGAGCGACGCGAACGATTGTGTCGACACCTATCCGAATCCGAATCCTCATTAGAAATGGACGAAGAGCGCTTCTACAATGAAAACTTTAATTTGGCAAATCATCGACAGCGCACAATCAGTAGCCCGGTACCAAATAGCCCATCGTCAAGTAGTCGTCCATTGAGCCCTGGCAGTGCGGCCACTGGACGTTGTTATGCTTGTGGTCAACTATTGGTGATTTTTTTTTTTTTTAATTTTCATGGAATTTCCAACTCAGTTCCACATCAAAAAAGATTGATTGATTGACCGACATTTTCTCATTTTCATTTCAGGGCCGACGGACAAGCGAGCGTTTCATTAAACCAGCTGTGCCAACCACATCACTTTGCCTGAACACATCAGCACCGAATGTGATGTCGTCCATGTCATCGGGTAGCAGCTCAAATCCAGTGAATATATGCTCACACAATGTTACACTGCCAGCAAATATTAGCAATTCGAGTATGCCATTCGGTTCGACTAATGCGTTGACACAACCAGCGTCTCCAATGGACACATCGGCTTACAACAAAGACTAAATGGAAGAAAAACAACAATAACAACACGACTACGAAATCAATTTCGATTCACAACTTAACTAAAATATGAAGATTTAAAATATAAAGAAAAAAATCTACTTAAGTAAGCAGCTATTTCGCAGGGAGAAACAAACACATAAACAATAAAGTAATAAGCACACACACACACATTATACATTACATACACTTAAAGAAATGCATACGCAAAAAAATGAAAGAAATAACGAAAAAGAATGATAAACAAATTGTGCTGAGTGGCCTCTGTTTGAAATGAATTTGAAATTCCAATCGTTCAACAGATTTCTTTGTCTGCCGGTGTTTGAATTGTTCATAGAAAACGTTGACCACTCGTTGGACATGTAGTAGTACAGATGAAACAAAGGGAAATTTGGAAAATGAAATACATTAAACTAAAGAAATGAAAAATTCTACTAAACGGTGATTTAAAACTATTAAAAATGAATGTTGATTTAATCAAGATCCATTTAAAAAAAAAACACACACATTTTCTAAAAATAAGAAAACTCAATTTTAGTTTATGTACATACATGCAAAGTATGAGAAAACAATTGAAAGAAAAAAACTACTACAAAGAAATCGCAAGAAAAAGAACTTCAAACAAATATTCTCGAATTTTGAATTTACTCTAAACGTTAATCGGATCAGCTATTGTAATTAAATTTACAAGTATATGAATTATATGCGCAACACACTGCCTCGACGATGCAATCGAAGCCCTACGAATGGGTGCGCGAACGAAGTGAGAAGGAGATAAAAAGAAAGCACTTGTCGATGATTCTGATGAAAATGTGTGCGATGTGAAGCACGAAAACGGCATTTTCATCAAACAACAGACAATTCGATTGAAATCCTCGATGAAACGAACCCTTCGTCAGAATGAGAAGGAGTCCAAAGCAATAATTTGCGCATCTTTTTTTTTCCATATAATGGAAAAAAATGAAAATTCAATTCATATTTTAATGGGTGTCCAGGTCCACACATTTGGTGGCTGTTTTTTTCCTCTCGGAAGAAAAATAATTATAGACGAAATGAAATTGCTTGGCTTTTTTCCGCTTTTCTTTGTTTTTCTTTTTGTTACACGTATAAAAACAATTATATTCGGAAAATGAAGATAAAAAAACAAGAACAACAACAAAAACACAAGATTATCAAATTATTTTTAAATCAATTTATTCTATTGTAATTGCATGTTAAAAGACATTTAACATTTATTGTATGGTTTTTTGTTGTTCTGAAAGCGCCTCAATCCACTCATTTCCCCGTCGATCAACAACTGAATTGATCAAAACACATTTTCAGCCATTGACTGAAATCGCTTTTTTTTCTTTTTTTCCGTCACATTTTTAAGCTATATTATTCAAATCTATCGGCAATGATTGATATAAATCAACGGCGACATAAAAAAAAACAAATACACGAAAGGAACACACACACACACATAAACACACACCATTACCATTATGTTGAAAAAAAGAATAAACATAAAAAAAATAGCAAAAAATCGGAAATAAAGTGCACGTTCACATTATAATAACAATGTGCATTTTATGTTTATTACACAAATTTCTTGCCTCACCCCTTCCCTCCATTATTTTGTCTTCCCCTCTCCCGACGTAGGTACCAAACACACATTGTATTATGTTGGTGAATGTTGTCAATCTTCATCATGTTGACAAATGGATAAACATGATGCCCAAAATATTCATGTGACCTACTTTCATTAGCCCACATTCCATGTTGATGAAATTCGGAATAAATTCATTTGAATCACACACACATTGCAAACATTTCAAATCGCATCTAAAAAGGTAACAGTACAACGACGAAAAAAATCTTTACCTATATTCCGTTTTGAATAACTTGATTGACTGAATGAGGGTCAAGAACAAATTCTAGATTGCGTGAATGTTCTTCATGCCTACAGAATGAATGTATGAATTCAATCAAAACAAAAATATATCGTTCACAGTTGCATTCAATTCGGAATAGAATCCAATTTGTAGAGTAAATGAGGTGAATATTCCAATTAAATAGTCAAAATTGCGGTAAATAAAGCATTTAAAGATCAACAGAATACGTCAACAGAACGACGTTCAATTTAAAATTACCGCTCTGCGTGATTTTGGTTGGAATCTCACTAGAGATAGTGGTTTCCAACACATTGAACGTGTGTCCGTTGGTTGACGTTTCGTTGCGTTGCCATCTCTAAAAGAGCGAAGCCTGTACAATTTTCGCTCCGAATTGACTGTGTGATGGTTTGTTCCTAAAAGACTGACATTACAATCAACACAACGTGCATGTATAACGGTAAATGGAGCAACGCTGACGTGTACGATGCGAGTGTATGTGCGTGCATACGTGTATGTCTCTCTCTCTCTATCTTCTATTTGATTAGCCCAGTGCGGTGTGCTGCGGTTGAAGCACCACCACTGTTTGAATGTACGTGCATGTGCCTAGCTCATTCGATGCATATGTTTTTCACTTGACGTTTGATCAATGAGCAATGTAGTAATTAGTCTTGAATTCGTACGATTAAGTAACGCACAACACATTTCTTCTGGTCTCTCTCGTTTTGCACATACACATTTTTTTACACCAGCCTTCGTACACAGTTGTTGTTTTCTTTCTCCGAATGTACGAAAAGTGAAATTGAGTGGTGTGAACAATTTGGTTGATGCAGACTTGTGTGGGACATTCAGTTGGAAAGCCAAAACAATCAAATCTCTGTTGAAACAAATTTCCAATACGATAGACAAGATAGGAGCGCAAAAAAAAATCCATTTGCATTCATTCAGCATAGTAATAACATGCGTTCATGTGCATGTTAATTCATGAATTTGAATGAAACTTGGTCGTTTGAAGTGTAGCCAAGAGAGTGCGAGAGCGAGAAAAGTTGAATTGAAATAAAACCCAACAGTTTCGCGTTTATTTTAACAAAATGGGCAGTGATACGTTGAATGTGCTAAATTGGACCGAAAACGATGTCGCACAGTATTTAAAACGAGAGCAAATTAGTGACACAAAATTTTTGCAATGTATACACGACGAACGTGTTGACGGCAAAAGTTTGTTAGCGCTAAGCGAACGAGATATTCGTGATTTAAAATTGAAATACTCGAATTTGCGATTGGGCGATCTTAAGCATTTTTGGATTGCTGTGCGACAACTACAGAAAGAGAATCAAACGAATTTAGTGAATTTAGGATTAGTTGAACCGACACCACCGCCACCGCCAGCATTTGGTGGATATGTGAGTCAACATCAGCAGCAACCCCATAGTCATGGCCATCATCACCATCATCATTTCTCATGTTGTTCGGATATCAGCGGTTTCCATGACATGGAACGAATATCACCGCCGCTATCCATCGACGGACGTGCCACCAGTATTAAACCAGAAATATTTAAAACTATGATTAGTTTAGGTGAGTCATATAATATATTGTGTGTTTTTGTTTCCATGTCGACCCGAAACATGCATCCAAGTTGATGTTGAAGCGACGGCCAAAACACTTGGACATCGCACTGTAAACGCAAAACCACCCAAACCGATTAAATAGCGATTAAAGAAGAAAACAAAAGCCATAAAACTGCCAACCATTATGACTGACATGTGTTTTCAAGAGTTGCTAAGCTCGAGATTAATTACTGACAACAATTCAATTTCAAGTGGTAAACGACACGGTTTTATTTTTCACAACAACAATCATCGATGAAGAAAAAAAAATGCCGAGAAAAACATCAAAGCGAACAAAAAAATGTGTTTCTTGTGCCAATTGTATCAGTTCAAAGGTTTGAAATGTTGATGACGATGTTTGGCTCTATAATCAATTCTGTTGTATGATCAACACCTCTTTTGTGTTCGAGATTTATTGCGATTCACGTGAAAAATTGATGTGAATTGTTGTCGCAACGACGAAATTGTCGAATATGAAGTAATGAAATATTATATAAACAATTGATTTGACAATATCTCTGATAGTTTTCACATGTTTCATGCCGATGTAAAGTAACCGAGAAAGAAGAAGAAGAAAATGTCCCCAATTCGATTGACTAATATGAAAATCCACAAATGTGTTGCAACAGTTCCGCTTCGTCATCAGTTTTATCGTTTAAATGTCGATTTGTATTTGCTGGATTTATCAATGTGAACACTAATCGACTCTTTCTCTGGTGCGAGAGAGAGAGGGAGAAAATAAAAGACGGAAAAAAGTGCGCGTCGACAAATAGTCGCCCATAAAATTGCGTACCTCGTTCTGTTGTTTACCGTTTGCATACACTATATATCTAGTACACAAGCATACATCGGCGCACACGCCACCGCTCACACAAAGCAATTTGTGCAAATGCAAAATTTAAATTTAGTTTTATTGCTGCATTGGCAAAATAGTAGGAAAAAAAAGATGAATAAGAAAAAAACAACAACTATAACGATGATGAGGTAAATAAAATGCTGTGTTTCACTTGATGTGATTCGAGTTTTAAGCGGTTTATAGGGAGAGTTTGTTGTGTTTATTGTAAATATTTTGCGATCGATTGCATTTACGCACTTCATTTGAAATTCATGATAATGCGGTATCGCAAAATCAAACCATGGACAAATATGTCACATGAATAATTATCTTGAAAAACGTATGTGCATGCATTGACACACGGTAAGCACACACATATGCCCCATGCTTCTGTACCACCTCTATCTATCGATCGACCGAGAGCCAAATGCGCACACGTTTTCATTCCGCAAGCGGGAACAAAAAAAATTGTTTATATAAATAAATTGCGATAATCGTGAACACAACCAAATCATGAGTAAACACTTAAAATTTCACACACCGAGCACGACATCTACAGCTAGAGAAGTGCTATTTAGAAATTTGAATTATCATTTGAAGCATTCATTCCACTTATGAACGCTGATTTGGGTATAGTTAAATTTCATGACTGCGATAGGTGAAACACAATTGATGCATGCATTTGATAGTGAGTGAGAGACAGAAAGATGAGAATGTCGAATGACGACAAAGAATGAATCTGTAAAGTGGCAGAGATTCAAAACGATTTAACGAAAAACAGCTGATTCACCAACACAATTCACGGCATTGACACAACGTCAAACGTTACTCAGTTCGTATGCGTGCTATATTCAATATATATCATTATCCCACACAAAAGTTACGCGCGAAATATCAAATCGGAAACGAGTTTGTATATCTGTTGTTACTTTGGTAACGAAAATGTTTTCTAGGTTAATGTCAATGACTTCGAGATACAAATACTGAAAAGAGAATATTAAGCAAAAACGTGCTCAATCTCTATGACGATTCGATTTGTTTTGATGCATTTCAAGTTAAATGAGCTTATTCGTTATCGGTCTTTCTTTTTTTTAATTGAACCATTTGAAATTGATTGACATTATTACGAGGCAAATGTTGATTAAAATCTACAAACGACTGTTGGTTTTGTTAAATATAGAAAAAAAATCAACGCTTTTATTTATAATCTAAATGATAAACTGAACAAATCATTTATTGGTGGGGTTTTCAATGGTTTGAATGGCTTGTCGAACGATTGGGTTCTCTTTTGATAGCCAGTTTCTTTTCTCAAGCAGTGTCTTTGCCGATGGCCGTTCGGTGGCTTTGACTTGCAATGTTTCGCGAATGATGTTCTGAGCATCTTCTGTCACGTCGTTCCAAACGCTTTCCGTTCGATTAATAAGATGGTTTCCACGAGAGTCTTTAACACTCGGGTGGAGACCAGTGAGGCAGTTGTACAAAATGACGCCGATGCTCCAGATATCGACTTTGTTCGTATACTGTGTGCCTTGTCGCACTTCCGGCGCCAAATAGTGTACAGTGCCACACTGCGTTTTGAGCACGGAGTCGAAAGTGGTGCACTTACTGAGGCCAAAATCAGCCACTTTGACCAGAGTATATTTGTCGGCGGTGGACAGTAAAATATTCTCCGGTTTGAGATCACGATGAGTCACTTTTTGTTCGTGCAAGTGTGCAACACCACAGCAAATTTGATAGAATATAAATTTGCTGAAGTTTTCCGAAAAGTGACCACAGCCTCTGATTCGAGTGAACAGATCGCCTCCCTCCATGTAATCGATGAGAATTGCCACGGAATCGGTGTACGATTTAACTTTATGCAAATGCAAAATGCACGGGTGATTCAGTTTCTTCAGTATGTCTACCTCTCTCATCATTGTGCTGATGCTCTTTTCATTTTCGTTGCGTGTGATTTTCAGTGCATAGAATTTGCACGTTCGTCGATTTTGAACAAAATTCACCACACCACATGCTCCCCTGCCCAGCTCCTTGCCAATGTGATAATCAGCATTTATGTCTGCCGGCAGATCATTTGGTACCAATTGAAACGATTGGAATTCGAAACAGATCGTCGGGCATCTTTCGATTAATATTTGATCATTGTGCGCAAGAATTCGTCGTTTGATCTTTTCATCAATTCGCTCGACAGTCCTTTCATTCGTATCGCTAATTTTCTGCCGTACATATGTTCCATTCATCGAGGAATCCTGTCAAAGCACAAAGTTTACAAATTAAACAATAGAAAACACCAAACAATAGAACGAAGAATGTGAAGAGACACAAAGAGTGAAAGAAAACAAATATGGAAGATCGATCGTTTGCAAATAGTGCAAAACAAACAACAAAAATTGCAAAAAAAGAGAGCAAATCATTTCCACCTGGTTCTTACCTCAATAAAAATTGGGCACAACGCATTGTTCACATCCGTTTTTACGATGGAAAAGTGAATGCCGGAAATTTCGTTTATTTTGCTTTCGTGAATGTAATCCGAAACGCTACAATCGCCTTTTCGTCCAAACGTTGTTCTTTCTTTCACCAAATCTATGCGCAATACAAACGAAATTGTAGTCACAGTTTCGATGCAAATTAAAGTTAGTCTGCTTACCCAAAATAAATATTTGCTCCGAAGCTTTGTTTCGTACAACTTGTCTCGTCGTGCCATACCGTCTTCTCATGATCTTGGAAATGGTTATTCGTCCGAATGGTTCAGATTTTGTTTCGATTTGACCACTTGAACCAATCGATGGATCGGTGCTCAATTGCGAGTCAGGACCTTCAGTATTTGCTTGACTCAAATCCGTCATTTCATCGTCGTCGCACATTTTTATTGTCGTTCTTTTTCCTCGAATTATTTTCGATAACAATCCGTTTACACTATCAAATTAAACAAAAAATAAACATAACTTTACATCGACAACACGGACATCGAATACTTCCAAATCAAATGGATTGATTCAAACAAACGAATTTTGACATTTGAACGATGTGCGGTGTACGAAACAATAAAAACACAATACTCGCTTTGACGTTTGGTGAAAGGGAATATCCAAGATGTCTGCTGCGGCGAATGTAGAAAGGCGGGAATTTGGAAGAGAGCGAGTTCAATGCAATGAGATCATGTTTTGTGGTCGAAAATGACTTTCGATTCAAATTTACATCTTTTTTTCAACCAATTTTTCTATTTTTTTTTTCGTTTCTTCTTAAAGGTTATGCATTTTTGGTGACATGGATAACAGCATTTGTGATGGTGGTTGTACACGAGCGTGTACCAGATATGAAGCGTTATCCCCCATTGCCGGATATTTTCTTGGATAATGTGCCGCATATCCCATGGGCATTTCATATGTGCGAAATAACGGGAACATCGTTGTTCTTCATTTGGACGTGCGTTTTGATCGTGCACAAGCATCGTTTCGTGCTATTGCGTCGTTTCTTTGCATTGAGCGGAACGGTGTTTTTGTTGCGATGCGTTACAATGTTGATAACGTCATTGAGCGTGCCAGGAACACATTTGCAATGCCGACCCGATGACTATGTTGTCGACGATTCCAAGTATGTGCTGAACTCACGAGAGAGATCTTTTTCTTAATTGAATTGTAGCACACACGCGACCTTCTCTCAATCAATCATTCATTTATTTCTTCTTTTGTTGTTGTCGTTTTTTCATTTTTAGTTTGCCGATTGGTGAGTCGATACTTTTGCGCGTATCACGAGCGTATACAATTTGGAGTGGACTTGGCATGTCAATACAGGGTGTTCGCACATGTGGTGATTATATGTTTAGCGGTCACACCGTTGCACTAACCATATTAAACTTCTTCATTACAGAATGTAAGTGTCCACAAAAGAAAAAGAGAAATTGAAAATATGAAACACGCAAAATATCGTGAATGTAATGCATGTTTTTCCCACAGATACACCGCGTCATCTGTACTTTTTGCATACGATGACCTGGCTACTCAATATGTTTGGTATATTCTTCATTTTGGCCGCACATGAGCATTACTCCATTGATGTGTTTGTTGCATTTTATATCACCTCAAGATTGTTCTTATACTATCACACACTGGCTAATAATCAGGTACGTTGTTCTCGCCACCCTAATTGCACGCCATTGTGCCGGCAAATGAAAATGACACCACCTATGGTTCTAAGCGGATTTTCCATTATTTTACTCAATAGGCATTAACATCACATGATTCAACACGCACACGAATATGGTTTCCAATGTTTAGCTATTTTGAAAGCTCCGTTGATGGCATTATACCGAATGAGTACAGTTCATTGGAGGATATATGCTCGGATCTCTATGGCTGCATTGGCAGTGCACGTGATAATTGCATGTTAACAGCGCGCCGATTTTGGCTGGTCAATCAACAGATCGTATCACCGGAATTTTCCAAGAAGATTTTCCAGTTCACCACCTTCAGCAAAGATGAATCGTCCGAATTGGTGGCAAACAGTAATAGTTCAGCACAAACGCAATCCAATACGACACCGGCCGAGAATGGTAGCAATGATGTGAAATCAAACAACGATTCCGCTTCCAACAATCTCAACAACACAAACATTAAATCGCAACAGACCAAAAAACATGTTTAACTTTCACGCTATTTTGCGACACATACATTTTTTTTATCGTTGAAATAAGTAGCATAACTGAAGAACAAACAAGAAAAATATCTATACAAAAACAACCAACAAAACAAACAAACAAACAAATGGCTATGATGTATGGTTATACATATATGGAGAGACACAAAACTTCATAGATATTTTTACATTTACACAAATAAAAAATAAAACAATACTATTTCTTATCTATGAACTTAAGAACTCTATGAAAACGTTGTCGATTTAAGAACAAAGAGATACAATTTATAAGGATGCAAGAAACACATGCAAACCAAAATTAACCCGATAATTGTCGAAAATCACATTCCAATGCACAATAGGAAATAAAATACCAAACGGTGATTTGCGAAAGTAAGAGACAGATTTGTGATCCAAGTGATCGAGAACAAAGGAAAAGAAATGGCGACATTCAATCGATTGATTAGCTTTTGTAAATTCACTTGATTTTGACACATTTTCATTGAATTTAGCATGAAACTTCGAATGAGTTTAGGATTTTATTTTCGAATTTTGTCCTTCATTTTAATGCAACAAATTTTGATAATGAAAACGAACAAACAAATCGAAAAATAAAAGGAATTCCCCGCAAAATGCATTAGTCAAGAGATTTAGGTAGATAATTTCCAAAAGAGAATAACAACAACAAGAGAAATGAAAAAAAAAGAATAACAACCATTTAACATTTATTTGCCTTTTCGTCTACAATTCCATATTAATTTATGTTAGTTTTTACGTATGTTAATGTTTTTTTTCTCTCGCATTCGCGCCGGATATTTGTGTGTCTTCCGCGATTGAAATCAGACCTCCCTGCAAACGTATTGTGTGAAATAATTTATTAAAAACAAAAGAAAAAAAATCAACACCTTAAAGTACTATGTGGACATAGCTCCTCGATCGTTCAAATGAACTTGATGTGCGATTCAGAATGCTTTGTTTCGTTTTTTTAATGTTGAAAAAAAATGTATTCAATTGAATACAAATGCCTTTAGAAAAATTTGGCTTTAGATTATTCAAAATTATTAAACAAATTCGCTTACCTCGAAATATGCGCGTTAAAAACAATTCTTATAAAGAAATTGAAGAAAATGTGAACAAAACGTTATTTATTTAGATGAAATAAAAATTAATTTATAATTTTCAATCGTTATTTTGGCTGAATAAAAAAGGACCAAGGAACATAGCTCATTTTTTTAAAATTCTATCTTTCGGAAGCACTGAAGAAAATCCTTATTGATATTCAAATTAATGCCTGATTATTAGGGAAAAAGAAGAAAAATAATAAGTTGTTAATGCTTTTCAAGGAAATTTTAATCATTCGTTGAGCCTTTTAGACAAACAAACAAAATCTATGAATAAATTGTTGACTATTTTATTATGATTTTATGAAAAAAAAGAAGAAAAAAAAGAAAAAGAAATATGATAAAATTCGAATGCGACATTTGCTACTTTTCGTTAGGGTTTTATTTAAGAAAAAGGTTACAATTAGTTGGTTAGGTGGATTACTTACCACTTGAAAAATTGAAATACAAAATGAAAATGTGTTTTTTTCTACAAAAATTCCAATGTTCAAACATTAGTTGATAAAATCAAATTTTATTTTACGACTCAGTCGAAATGAAAGCAATAATTTCCCAAAAAAATGCCCATCAGTCGCTTTTTGTATCAGTTTCAATCAAATTTTGAAGAACAAGAAGAGAGGAGTAAGCCACATAAAATTGAAAATGATGCAGAGAATTACATGAAAGTGTTCAATAAACTGAATACAAAAATGTGTAACAAAATCCCCGGAATCAATTTTCATAGAAATGTCCCAATATTTTCATAATTTTTGTTGAACAAAAATACAGAACAAACCACAGAAGAAATAAAGAGGAACCAAATACGATGTACCCAAATGAACATCAATAAATAAATGTGAACTATGAAAATTAAATTCGATTTTTTTTCATATCGCTTGTCATGTTTCCGTGGTTGTTGGACTCCATTTTTACTTTCAATATTTGAGTTATACATAAATTGCCGTAACAACAAGAAGACAGCCAATGACATCTCTAAACCAACAACATTGAATCCTCGAATATTTTGAGTAACTTTTTTCAGCCCTGTGCAGCTTGAGTTGATGAATATAATCAACTTTACAGCGACACTAGCAGCTTCTCTGCACACACACACACACATCATGTGGACCGAGAGTTCGAAAATCACAGCATTTTGACAAATGCATCGAGTAACCATTGTAAAATTTGGTTAGCGTCTTGTAACGGCTCACAGGGAAGCTGTTAGAGTCGCCGCAAATTCTTCACAAAAAATCTCAAACGATGACCGTCAACGGTGATGATTTGCTGTGAGTCCACTTTCAAAACGAGATTTCTGTTATTTGTTAGAGCAAGGTCGCTTTCTTCGTATACAAATACATGGTAAAGATTTGATGTAAGACGCCAAGATTCCTCTACGCGTGGAATGCTCGAAGCTGTCATCGTACACATATTAAACACGAACATTGTCGTTTACACAATCACACTCACACAAATGAACGCATCAATAGTGCCCGCTTGATACATGTACGATGAGTGTTTTGAGTGTCCCTCGCCTAGAGGGCTGCGTGTTGTTTTTCTCCGTTTATTAAGCGATCTTGGTTAGAGCAACAATAGTTCAGTTGAAGATGAATGAAATGTTACAAAGTTTGGAAAAAAAATGATGAATATTTTTATTGATTTATTGAATTATACCTTCTGACAATAAAGTACCCGGAACTCATCATTTTAGCCGCTTCAGGTATAGGTATCGTGTAAAGTATTTTTTTCCTGAGTTGGTACAACCTTAAAAAACATCTCAGCCAAATTTGAGCTCAATATGTCAAGTAGTGTAGTTGTGGCAAAGGTATAAGTGATACCTCCAAAGGTACCAATGGAAATAATTTTCCATGAATCAAATGTTTTTTCGAATGGAGAATGGTTTCAAAAAATTGTAGATAAATTGTAGAATTCAAATCAATTGTCTGTTTTCAAATATGTCTGCCCGTTCGTTCGATATCGAGACGAGTCATGAAAATTGGTCCAATGTTCGATTTGGGGCCAAGATTTGAGTATTACCGATTTTGGACCAATTTTCATAACTCGTCCCGATATCGAACGAACGGGCAGACATATTTGAAAACAGACAATTGATTTGAATTCTACAATTTATCTACAATTTTTTGAAACCATTCTCCATTCGAAAAAACATTTGATTCATGGAAAATTCGTTTTTTAACCAAGATTTGAGTATCCCCATTTTGGAGCGGTTTTTCGATAGCCGATTACTCAAAAAAATTGTTCCTACATAAAAGAAGTAAATACACTACATTAAACTACATAAAATCTACAATTGAAATCGCCCTACCCGAAGACATTTCGGCGAATTTGCCAAAATTTGAATATTCATCTTTTTTTTGAGCTTCTGTATGTTTCAATTGAAATCGTGAAGAGAATAAAAACAACCAATGCCTTCATCTTGTCTAGTTCGTAACAAAATCTTACTGTGCCCACAATATAGAAGTACGCTAATTTATATGAATTTTTTTTTTGATAATTCTTCAATGTTTATAAAAAACAAAACGTGCTGCATCCATGCTTTCTAAGTTAGTCAGCACAAAAACATAATTGAGACGTGTTATGAACGTTTCAACAATAATGTAACTTTAATCGGTGTAACTCGCATTATATCGTTCAGAAATGCGGCTTTAGGATATTTGTTTTCAAAATAACTTGAAATTGTAATTAAAACGCACAACACCTGTTTGATTGGCACACCTGTTTGAAATCGTATACAACTTTATTACAACGCAAGTAAATTTGCTCATATTTTCGATGGCAATATTTTGATTTATTCTAAATAATTTAATGTGGATTGTCCGCATCCCATGAATTTTTGTAGCTCTTCAAATACCTTAATGCCATCAAGCAGCCAATTCATTAAGCCAATATCGGCGATCGCACCGTTTTGAATTAGTAATTTTATCATACCCATATTACCTGTAACAGTATACAATTTAATTTGGCTCTGTTGAAGAAACAATTATTCCTAGCTTACCATTTTTGAAATTTTTAATGGCTAAAGTAAGCGGTGTGGTCCCATTGTTTGTTTCCATATTAACTTTTGCGCCGTTTTCAAGCAGCATTTGAGCAATTATTTCATTTCCTATTTACATTAAATAAAAAATATTTTTCAAATTTTGTTAAATTCCGCATTTTACTTTGCTACAAATCACACTATTATTACCTTTATTTGCAGCCACATGGAGTGGGGAATATCCTTGGTCGTTTCTGGCATTAACATCGGCACCTTTGCGTATTAAATATTTAAACAAGAATTTGAAAAAATACTCCATATTGAACCGAGAAGGGTCAGTTGTCTCAATAGCGAAATGTAACAACGTTCTTCCATTCAGATAGTATGGGTGGTTGATATCGGCTCCATTTGCAAAAAGTAAGTCCAATATTTTTTCGTTTTTCCTATACCCTGCAATTTGAATTTAGTACTTTTGCTTAAAATTATAATTTTGCTTTCAAAACTTACGGCGATGAAAAGCACATGCAAGCATTAATTCGATGTCAGCATCAATATTTGCACCATTTTTAATAAGCATTGTTAAAATTTCCACGTAATGTACATTATCACGACCTGATTTCGAATAAAAAATATTAAATCATATTCACGATAAATCTATGTAAATTACCTGAACAGATGGACCTATGAATAAAAGAATCCCCGGAATAATCTTTCGAATTGAGATCTATTCCATTATCAATGAGCAGCTGGACCATTTCAATTGAATCACCTTAATAAATAGAAAATAAGTTCTGAAATATAACTTCAACTATTACGTTATTATAAGACTGTATTACTTTGAACAGCTTCCTCGAGAAGTTTGAAATCTTTTTCGGAATTAGTCCTTACACCATTCGCAAATAGAGATTTGGCCAACGTAACGTTTCCTGTATAAATTCATATTAATAATTTTGATTTCGTTTTCAGAAATCAAGTCATATGGTGAACAAACCTTTTTTAACAGCTGTAAAAAGTATAGACTCGTTGAACGTACTTCTCTCTGTGGCACTAAATAAATTTCAAAATTGATTTTCATGTATTTGTAAAAAAAATTCAGTTTTGGTACGATTTAGTTTTAACTAAAAAATCATTTCTCGAATACTTTATCGATAATTGAAATTAAAGTGTCCAATTCTTTATAAAGAACTATCGATACTTACGATTTTCCTTCAGAATCATTGTTATTTGCAGCATATACTGCGATGATAAATACCAAAAATGCAATGAATAATTTCATTTTTTTCATAAAATGAAAACAATATGAACAAACAATATATCTGAAAGAAACTTATAATCGTTTGGTTTGCTCTTAAGCAAAAGTATTACTAAAATGATCAGAACCAAAATGTCCAAGAAAAATGTAAAGAATAACAATTCTTTTGTAACACACTCGCTTTTTAGATTCTTTCCTTCCTTTGTAGTCATAGAACAATATACACATGACCACGTTACACTTTTTTTTGTAATGATTCTCTTTTTGAAAGACACATTCAATCCTCTGAATATATTTTCTCGTTGTGCATAAAGGTAGAAACGTCATTTTTCTAGGTAAAATTTTCAAATATATGCTTTTGTTCACAGTGTGTGTTGGAACGAGACACATATATGATTGATCTTTTTTTTTTATCGCTATAATAGGATTATATGACTTTGTTCTGATTATTTAAACCGAATATAGAGTGAAATTATTTTCAAGTAAAATAGTTTTTTTTTTAATTAGTCGACTTTCCATTCTAAATAGATGTATTCGGTGCAACACAGTCATAAATGGCAATATGAGGCAAATTTGACAAAAACTATGTGCCATAAAACCATAACTAAGGTTGTTGGTATTATTGCTGCCTTTTGAATTAATTGCAAACATGTGGAAATATTTTGCGACTTCATGGGCATTGCTTAGCGGAGAGTCTAAATCTCAATTCAATCACTAATTAGCTTTCTTTTTCTGTAATATGTCGAATGTCGTCGTGTTCTGTTATTTTTTGAGCGCTGACGCATACTGAATATTTTAATGCCTAGCAAAAAAAATTCTGTAAAGAATATATATCTAAACATAGAGTCTTTGTTTTGTCAGTTAGTTTTATTTGTAAATAACCCGCTTCTCATTCAATAGTACATTATGCATCACTTTCTAGATTGATTCAAAAGTTGTTATTTTTTCTAATTCTAAATTTGTTTTTTTTTTCGGTTGTGTTTTTTTCTCGTTACACACAGGGATATGATAGGTTTGGTCATTTTTTTTAAGTTTCTTTCATAACAAAAAGTTTATGTACAGAGTTGGATGGTTGCCGTTGGCTAACATAACATCCGGTTGAAATGAGTGTGAGCACCGCTTTATCTGCATTAAAAACCGCTTTTTTATTATAGCTAAGGTCGTCTAAGGAAAATGTTAAACGGAGCCTTTTTCTTTTTAAAATATTTTTTTTGGCATTATAAGGCTGATTTGCCTTGGAACAGAATGGGAAAGAGAAAAAATTGTTGTCGTTGTCATTTAGATTTTGTAGAATATTTCTCTAACGGTGTCGCATGCTCACCGCATCTCATGATGCGCATGCGACACCCGCTATATGCAATTATGAAATGAATAAAGAATGACAGAATAAAGTTGATGCTGAAACTGAAACAAGCATTATTACTTGAGAGTGAGTATCCCTAACAAACCCACTACAATTTGAACGATGGCGGCTTTTGTGAAATCATCATAGCAATCAAGAAAAGATTACTAGCCGTAGTGCTCTGTTGGAAACAATCAAATTTCATTGATTTCGGTTCCATTCTACGTTCCAAGTCCAATGAGAGAATGCCAATGAAGTAGAGAGAAAGAGAGAGAGAGCGGGAAATGGTCACGCTTTACGCAAAGCACGTGTAAAGCGTGGTTATTTATATTAGCCAGCTTATCGGTTTGAATGTGACGGCGAGTCCATTTTCACAAAATTACTTCATAAATTCTCTACATATGAAGATCATGAATAACGAATCCTGGATCTATGCTGTGAGATCACCTTGTCGATGACCTGCCTCAACTCAACGTAATATTTGTAAGTTACAACTCGCAGCATTGAATATAATGAAAAATGTTCAGTACACAAAATCCTAGAAGATTATAACATTTTACCAACGCATTTTTGGAATCGAAAGCAACAAGACTAAGCTTGAAACTTACCTAGCAAATTTTCAATTATGAATGTTGACTCCAAACTCTTGCAAAATGCAAACCGCTTCATGGATGTGATCTAATGATTTTCTATGTGTTGATGGAATGAAATACAAAAATCACGATGTATTTTGAACTAAATGATTTTATATTTTTTATTTACGACTCAGTAGAAATGAAAGCAATATATTTTTCACAATAAATGTCCATCAGTGTTCGTTTGAATACATTGTTATTCACAAGAAATAGGTCCAGTTGAAAAGTATTTTAAAATTGAATGAAGAAAGAGTGAAAATGGTTGACAAACTGAAAACAAAAAGGAAAAAAAGTAAGAAAAAAAAAAAAAATCCGAATCAATTTTCATGGAATTGTTTCATCAGTTTAATTATTTTTGTCGAACAAAAAATACAATACACACAACATAAAAAGAAGAAATAAAACAGAAAAAAAATACAATATTTGTTTTTAATATACAAGTCGGTACAAATAACAAAGACAATAAATTAAGATCAATGTGAATTCTGCAATAGTATTGTGTATTTCCTTCCTTGCATTCCGTGAACCATTGGTGTTCATTGCGATTGTTCAGTTGGGAAATGTTTCGGTCGAAAAACGGATAAATTTATAAGGTGTGGTGGATGGCAAATGCCGGAAATGAATTACGTTGCATTGCCGCCACATTCAATTTCAATTTTCACAAGCCGGCTGTAGCCTTCTTTGATTTTGACAATTTTCACTCAGTCAATATGTGCATCGACACATATTTTTTGTTTGTTTTTCCGCACGAATAATTAATTTATGACACTCATGGTCCTAAATCTTGAACTGGTTTCTACATGCACAATTATTATAATTTGAATGACGTAAAAATGTTTGCGTGTTGTTTTTTTATTTTCTTTATAAGTTTTTAAAATTGTCTCTGACTTAACGATCAAAGTTTCTTTTTTTTTCCTTATTTTCATGCTGATTTCACGTAAATAGATACGATGTGTTTTAATTCTCTTGGGATGGTGAACATGTTTCTTGTATCTGGATACGTGAATGTGTGTGAGTGTTGGTTTCTTTGCGTACTTTCTTTCTTTGAGTTATGCTTAATTTATACATGCTTGCTCTCCGATTATACATCACTAAGCAATTCTTCACAATGAATAGGAATCGACAAAAAATCTCAAAAAAGTCTTAATCTTACGTTTGTTTTTAAATGTAAATTTTTCTAACCTTCTTACATTTAGATGATAATTTAGTTTAAATGTTCTTTTTTCTCTTGGATTTGGTTGCTGATGATGCCACTGTGCTGCTTTGACAATGCAATTGTGTGTTTGTGTGATTGAATTCGAAATTCAGCCATATTTGTGCCAATTATGGTCATTTTGATTAGTTTCTTTAAATTATGCTTGCACATCGAACGGTGTGTGAATTAATGCGCGACAGATTCAAATGATTTGCTTTAGTGTTTGATACGACGGAGATATTTCATTTGGAAACTAAATTATACAAATATATTAATTAATGGATACACGAATGCAATTGAGATTGTGAACGATTTCTGAGGAGAACACCCACTTTCGATCAAAATGAATCGATTTTTGTTAATTTTTGTGTGTTTTCTCATTTTCTTCTTTTTATTTTTCATAAATTGCACCTCTTGAATGTCATGCAAAGAATCCTTGCCACCAAAAAGGGCACGATTATCGCCATTTTACAACTGTTATGCCATCTTCATAAGCCGTTTCCAATAAGTGTGAGTGTGTGCATGTGGGCTCTGTGTGTGTGCAAATCATTAGCAAGCAAAGAGCAAGATTTCGATACAAACATTTTATATTTAATCAATGAAGAGAAACCCATTTGAGTCTTAAAGATCCAGCACTTTTCTGTTGTTGTTAACTCAAGTGTTTTTTTTTATGGTTTCGAAAAAGAAAAGAATGATTTGATTTGTTTAAGATGAGAAACGGTTCGACCGTTGGAAAAAGTGCGCACGAAATGTTTCATTGGAATTTTTAGTTCACTGCAGTGACTGTGTACACCAACGTTGGTTGCTGTTGTACCGGTTCGGGTGCTTGCTGCTGTTGCTGCTGCTGCTGCTGCTGCTGCTGCTGTACCTGTTGTTTTTGTTCGTGCGACCTAATTGAAGGGAAACAAATACATTTAGAATAAAAGTTTCAAAGCGAACATTGTTCAGGGCTCGTTCGCATAATATCATTCTACTCTACTACTATAGCTCAAGTCTCTGTCTAACTCACTTTTTGTGTTTGTTGAGATTGTCCTTTCGAGAGAACAGCTTATGGCAAATATCACAATCGAATTGCTTTTTGCCGGTGTGTGACACACAGTGTCGCATCAGATGCTCCTTTCGACTGAACGCCTTATTACAGTTAGGCTCTTCACACTTGAACGGTCGCAATCCCAAATGCAGTTTCACATGCTGAGCCAAATGCTCCTTCCGTTTAAATACCTTGTCGCAGATTTCACATGTTGGAACGTCCGATTTGGCCGAACCGCCACCACCAGACGATGAGTTTGTGGTTTGCGTTGTGACAAGGGTTGTCGATGTGTTTGAATCGGATGTCTCCACTTTAATGGCATTGGCTTTGTTGTTTGGCTTTGCCGTGACCACCGTTGTTTTCGTCATGGTTCTTCGAACGGCTGTCTTGGCATGTGCGGCATACGTGCTGGTTGTTGATGTCGTTGTATTTGATAGAGTGGGTAGCTTGAAAATTTGTGGTTTGGCAACCGGTTTCGTTTCCATTTTCTCCTGTGCTTGCTCCACTTTGACCCTTTGGAACGTGATTGCGGACGTTTCGGGCAATGGTAATGTGACATTTTGCGGCACCACATTTTGCAATGTGGTGAATTGAACTTTGCCGTCAGCGGTTAACTGATGATCCTGTGAAATGAATTCGAACCATTTATTTATTAATTATTTCAATATTTTCCTCAAATTATGAATAAATCGCTAGATTTCGCAAAAAACGTTAAACCCCACTTCCCAATTAATGGATAAATTTATGAACAAACCTGCGTAATGGTAATATTTTGTCCGCTAGAAGTATAAATGGTACGTGTTTCCGGAACGATGGTCGCCTGTTGAATACTTTCCGTTGAATGGTGCTGCGTTTGAACGTAATGCGGCTGTGCCAATGAAATTGATGTTGGTAGGTTAGCGGTCGATGTGAGTTGGACCACTTGTTGACCGTCAACGGTGGTAATTTGCTGCGGGTCCACTTTCATTTGCAAATATGTGCCAGGTAAAACGAGATTTTTCGTATCAATCTGTGCCATAATCTGTTGGTCATTGTTGCTGCCGTCTTTCAGTGTGATTGGTAAGAAGCATTTATTGCCAGACGACAAGAATTTCAGATCTTGTAATGTGATCGCTTGCGTTTTGTTTGCGGTATTGGCCACGGTGATGGTGTTACCCGGTGCTATACTATGTGTAACTGCATGGAGAAAAGTATTCAACATTTAATTCCTCCAAATCAAAATCGAAAAACAAAAAGTGTTGAAACAAACCTGTGTTCGATTGAACTTTTTGCTGTTGTTGCACCGGCGGGCTGGTCAACACCAAATTAATTTTGGGCTTTTTCGATGGGGATGTTTCGATAATTTTCACAGTCGGTTCTTTGCGCTTCAGAATTGGTGTCACTTTTGTTGCATTGGCTGGCTTGAGTTTCAGAAACTCATTCACTTGGGAGTATGTGTTGTTGCTGCAGACAAATTGAAAAACAATGCACACATTTATTCCAATGTTCTATCATTTGATAATGACATCTGCTAAATATAGTTTCATTGCTCACCTTATGGCTGTTTGTTGAGTTGGTGTGGTGTGTGTTTGCTGTACGAATTGTGGGTCTTGAATGGTTATTGCACCCGTTGGCTCGATTTTATAGTGAATTTGATTGGACTTTAGCGTCTTTCCATCCAATGTGATTGTGTATTGTTGCACTGGTTGTTGCTGTTGCTGTTGCTGTTGCGGTTGTTGTTGTTGCACTGGTTGAATGTTGTTGATAATTTGTGGTTCATTTGATTCATCGACATTCTGGGAAAATTAATTCAAACATTTTACATAAACACACTCATTCAAAAAAGAGAAGAAGAATGATAGGGCTATGAAAATTCATGCTAACCTGAATGCCGACCGCCTGGATAATACTACTTAGGAAATCGGTGGAGTTTTTCGAGTTTTGTACTGAAGTTTTGGTGAGCGTTGTATGGCCAATGGTGATCGGGGTGCTGGTATTCGAAATGGTCTTCAGCATTGGTGGCGATGTTGGCGTCTTTTTCGGTGACACATCCTTGATATAAACCTAAAGTAAATTAATATTTTCGTTGTTTTTTGTGCGAGCATAGCAATTGGAAACACAACCACCCAAACAGAAACAGAATCGAAGCAAAAACCGAAAGAAAAGAAGGCAACCACTACAAACTACAATAGAACGAACAAAAAAACAAATGGAATATAATTCCGAATACAAACCTTTCCTCCGTTTCGTAGTTTGGTTGAGTTTAAGCAGCTCTCCAGCATGGATTGGGCATTGACGCATGTCTCTCGGAATTTCACAATCGTTTCCACTTGGGTAAGACATTGTGAGCAGACGATTTTTGGTAGTTTGTCTGTTTCGCTGACCTGAACGAGGACAAAAAAAGAGACCAGAGCATTAGTTAACGCATCCAAACAATTCAACGCTGACACACACATTGACACTTACAACAATCGGTAAACAGCCAGCGATTTTCTCATATAAATTTTTCCTTCTTCCCTCCTCAGAGAAGATGTGCACTTTTTTCGTGCAATGGCTTGCCGTGCACAAACGGCATAGTTCATAATAGTTGACACACCGATATCCAGACATCTTTTCTTTTCGAAATTACGGGTCGTTCCTTTTCTATACAATCAAGCTAATTTTTTTCGATTTGTATGCAAGCGTTCTCAAAAACAGTCTAAATAAAGCATTTCAATCGCCAAGATCATTTCAATTCATCTCTCTGGTCAAAATGGTTCTCTCTCTCTCTCTATTTTTAAAATTATGATGATGATGCCATGATCAATAAATAAAAGTCAAGCCATATTACGCGCACTTGGGCTCACAAATACACAGTGCACAAAATGCGAGCGAATCGCGGTGCACGTAAAAAAAAATTAAAAGAAATAGATGCAAAACAAAAAGGCTGTTTTTTGAGGTTATGTATACGCGTTACACCAAATAGAATATATTGGTTTTTTTCTCTCGTTTCTCGTATGCCCCTTCGCTAGCTACACAGATTTTCACTCTATGTTGATGCTCTTGGTGGATGTGTCGTCGGTGTTTGACTGCCCAATATTTATCTCGTGTTGAATTTTTCCACCAAAAACACTTTGACAAAACTGCTTGTTTGTTGATTTGCGACAAGACAAAATTCCGAAATTTCAAGCGCGGAACGGAATTTTCACTTTTTTCGGTTTTACAACACATGCACATGTACACTTGGATAGATTTTTCGTCGTTTCGTTTCGTTTGCTTTTATTTATCAAACAACACTAGACCATCAACGATATACACACAATGTTTATGGCCGATATACAATTGCATTCAAACAATGTTTCTGCATGCAGATTTTTCATTTCCACACCGAATCCACGCCACTATACTACCATTTTATGCGCTTCATTCGACGCTTTCAATGTGCGTTCGATTGAAATACGTTACAATTTCGATGTTTATTTCCGAAAAAGATACATAAACAAAATTATGCAATTTACGCTCTTCTGGTGCGACGCTTCGATTTCTCTAAACAATATCATTTGACAGTCGTTTTTTTTATTGAAGTATCGAGATTTCGAGATGTTCGATATTCTGGCTTGGCGCTCATGTTTGTGTGTTTAATGTTGCATACATACACACATGCACGCATCCACATACATAGCCACAAGGTATGCGCAGTAGACGTGCTTTTGTTTGCTTGTTTCGAGTGTGCGTTCCGATGATCGTCTGTATATGCAAAAGACAAGTACACCAAAAAACAGAGCCATATTCTAAACTAGAACGTTGGTTGGTTTTCCCTTGTGTCTCGTCTCTCGTCGGTAGCTGTTGCTGCTGATGAATGTTGAAATTGGTATAAAATGAATTATATGCATAGAGTGCAATAGATGAATGAATTTTTTTAAGGTGACCGCAACGCTGAATTTATGTCGTTGCGGAACGCTGCCATACACAGTTCAAATTTCATTGAGAAATAGACAATTTCAAGCGAAGTTTGTTTTTCTCTCTCTCTCTCTCGCATCAATTACAAAATGAAAAACATACATCCGTTTAAAGGATAATTCGTATGGTTTGTTTTGATTCCTATCGGTCGTAAATCATTCCATGTGCGTTTTTTTCCGCTATCTCTTGTGTTTTCGTAAATCATTCGCTCGTTTAAGATGTGCTAAATATTCGACTTTTTATTTACAAACGCTCCCGTCCGTCCGTATTCATTTCCCCTTCGTTGATGATAGATAGATGACGGTAGCATACACGTGAATTCGTGTTAGAATACAAGTATACATGACTTTTCAAACGCATCATTATTGTAAACAGATTTAGTTTAGATCCATTCAGTGCGGGCGAGAGACAGAGATAGAGACGGAGTTTAAAAAAAATCAAATTGTGACTACTTCTCGTTCAGTGTTTGGGATAAGTACGATCATAAGGCACACGGTGCCGCACGAGATACAAGAATACATGCAAAAATACACGGAGACGATTGTATCACGACCGACCAAAAAATGAAACCGACCGAGAAAATCAACGGAAAACTGTTGATTATCTTTGCCGAGGAGATGCGTATCGAATGAGCGGGAGTGAGAGCCTACGAAGGAGCGAGTGAGAACCAGCGAGTAAATGTGAACGATGCGGCGGTATGTATATTGGCACAGGAGCCGATCAACAACAACATCATACACGAGAGTTGAATGTTACATGCCAAAATTAATAAGCTACCGAGGAAAATTCGTATATTTTTTTGAAATGACTTTGCTAATAGCTAGTCTGAGCGATTTTGAATAGTCGAATCTGGTACGTAGACTCGTGTAGTCGAGTGACGATATTCATATCTAATTTGAATTCGATTTTTTTTCTTTCGGTTTTGCACACACATATTCCGAGTGTGCCGTGTTTGATCGTTTCTCGTTTTTTTTTTTCGTTTGTATTTTTCGCATCTGGAAAAGTTGATAATCATTTTTTATTTATCGTTACGGTGCAAGAAATTGTTTTTTCCAAGCGCTTGATAAACGTGTTGCTTATTTTTCATGAGTTTTTCGCGTAAACGGATTCAAGGCAACGCATCGACAAAGCCATTATTAGTCGATTGAGTTGCAGTGCCGAATCGAACGACGAAATAAGGAAAAAGAGAGAGAATCAAAGAAGAAAAACGTAAACAAAAGGAACGGCGTGAAAATCGGATTAGCTATGATCGTGGTTGATGAAAATGACCCAATCGGTGGTAATATATGCATACATATGTGTATGTGTGTGCGTTTGCGTGTGCTCCAAACTAGTTGATTGTGGTTTTTAACAAAATCGAAAGACCACTTTTTGAATGTTTACTGTTTTTTTTTTCATAAATGTCATTCATTTGCTTAGATTTAGTGTTGAATCAGTGTTGCAATTGCAAGGCACAAACAGCAACTCCACAATTTGCTTATTGAAATGAAATACAGAATTAAGAACAAATAAAAAAACAAGAAGAATTCGCACACAAACAGAAAAAAAGAACTCTCTCAATCTCTTATTCTCACTTTCTTGCTAGCTGGCTCTCGGAACGCGTGAAGAACACACATTTAATGGTGCTTGTAATTTATGAATGCTACCGTAAAAATGCCCGCTAATTAGTTTGAATTTTAAATTATTCACTTTTTGACATGATGCCTCAAATGTTTGTCAACGTTTGTGCGGGTTGCAATTTTCAAGCATTCAGACAATGTGAGAGAGAAATAATGCGAATTGAATGCGGTTGCTGTTGTTGTTTCTGCTGTTGCTGCGGCTGCTTTCGAAGAGAGAAATCAGTTCGTTCCTCATTTTCATCATAATTTACGTACAAATATATTTATTTATATGTTGAACTCTGATTCAGAGTGTGATGTCAGGACTGAGTCTTCCATTCAAGATTATTGTTTGTTTGTTTTTGTTGTTGCTTGCGATTTCTATCGCTTGTAATTCATATCCCGTGCAACGATTCTACGGCAAATGGCTAAAATAATGAACTATTTTGAAGATTTCAAGTGCGGAAAGATTTGAATGAACATGAACACCATTTTCAGAACAAAAGAAAGAGAGATCATCGTAGTTCGCTCCCCTTTCGTCTTTCAAAAACCAACAATATTCAACAATTGAATATATTATTTTCAGATCATTCGTTTTAAAAACAGAAAAATACACATACACATAACGCAGCGACAATAAAAGTACAGAAATAAAATGATTTGAAGCAAAAAAAAAATAATAAATAGATTTTTTTTAGAGTTTTATTTACAAGCGCCCGCTGTCGCGTCATAAACATTAGTCTTGAACTCGCCATCGCAATGAATTGATTGTTCCTTTTCTTCTTCTTATTCTCTTTTTGTCTGTATATTGACACTTTTTTCTATCTCTATCTCTCTCTCTCTCTCTCGTGTTCATTCTCTGGGCGCTTGTGTATTATTGTTGTTGTCTTTTTCTACGTTCGTTTGCTTTCGTCGTATTTATTTTGTATACTCGCAATGTTTCACTTTTTGAATCCTACATAAAAATAAATTCGCGCGCGTGTAAATGCGACTCGCCTTTATGCCTTTTTTTCTCGTTCGCGCTAAATGAACGAGAGCATTTGTCTTTCGGTTCGTTTTTTTTTCGCCTCCTCTTGAATAAATTTTTTCTTCTTGTTTCTTGGCAATGATTTTGGCTCTCGATAACACTCCGATTCCGAATTGAAAGATCAAATCTCGCGAAACCTCTCCCTCTCGCTACCTCCATCTCTCTCTCGTCGACAACGATCACATATATTTCCGTACACAAATAATCCGCACCTTGATTGTGTTATCAATTTCAATTCTTTTGTTTTGTATTTTTGCCAATTTCATCTTCATTCTGCGCATATTTAATTATTGTAACAATGTTAACATTCGTTTGATTGACTCTGTTTCAAAAATACTACGTCAACTCTCTTGTTCTCTCAGTCGAGTCAACTCTGTCGCTCTCTCGTTTACGCAGTGACTGAATTACGATGAATTAATTGATGAACGGACGAAAAATTGAAGTCAATGTATTCGCACGTCAACAACTGACGTGGATGACCAGTGTATAGTACGAGTTCACACCAAAAAAAACACCTCTTAATTGAAGTTAATTAATATTATTTTGACTTCGATCATTTTCGATGTGGTTTTTCTTTTTCGGTGGAGTCATGAAAAGACTCAAGTTATCCTTGACATTGAGGCGAAATTTCAGGCAAAGAATAAAAACGGCTATAATGCGTTGATTTGCGTTCCGGTCGATTTCGATGGGTTTGCGATCAAAAGTCGTTGAAAAATTATGGGCCACTCTGATGTGTCATTGGCATTGAATATATTCATAATGAGCTGATTTTCTTTCATGATATTTTAATAAAATTTTGGCCAACATCACATGTTCATAAGCTACACGTTGCGATTTGTTTATATTCTAGAAATTGAAGCAAGTTTTCCGTATCGAGATGTGCAGTTGAAAAAAGGTTCGATATCTAGAGATATCTATGATATTTCATCAGAAGAACTTGGCAGGTAATTGGACTTTGAATCCATGAAAAATTGAATTGACGAATACTAAATCAATTTCGATCGTAATTTAATTCTTGCGCAAGATTAGAGGAACATATGGAACCGTGTATTTGTGTAAGGAAAAGACAACCGGCCTTCAGCTTGCGGCAAAATATGTAAAAGTCACATGCAAAGAGGATCGACGTAACATGGAACGGGAAATTGAAATCATGAGCGGATTACATCATCCGAGGATTATCCAATTGTACGATGCATATGATGATGGTTCAACGATTGTTTGTGTCTTAGAATTGTAAGTCAATGGCATCAGTCAGTCACACTTTCTTTCACCTTATAAAAGTACCAACATCTCAATTTCTATAATAAAACGCAACAAATCTGCTGCAGAATTCAAGGTGGCGAACTATTTGAACGTGTCATCGAAGAAGATTATGTTTTGACTGAAAAGGCATGCACCATTTTTATTCGACAAATTTGTGAAGGAGTCGATTTTCTGCACAGTCGTGATATACTCCATTTGGATCTCAAACCGGAAAATGTTTTATGCTTGTCGCGAGAAGGTAATCGAATTAAACTTATTGACTTCGGCATGGCGCGCAGATATGATCCCACCAAACAACTTCAAATTTTATTTGGAACCGCTGAATTTGTCGGTATGCATACCTGTAATATTTTACTCAATTGCTTATCAACCTAAATTTCTTGCTATTAATTGAAATTTTAAAGTGTTCAACCAAAAAATTTCCGAAAACTTGGCATAAATCCGTTTTTATCCTAAATTATAAGTTTATTTCATGGACCAATTTTTTACTCTAAATAATGATAAAAATCAATATTTTTAATCTTGAATGAATAGCTCCAGAAATCGTGAACTTCGATGCGATATCGTATTGCACTGACATGTGGGCGGTTGGTGTAATTTGCTACGTTCTTTTATCCGGATTATCCCCGTTTATGGGCGATACAGATATAGACACCATGACAAATGTTACACTTTGCAAGTACAATTTCGACGATGATGCATTCAATCAGGTGTCGGAATGCGCCAAAGATTTTGTTCAACAACTTCTCCAGAAAGAGGGAACGTGAGTGTTTTTTCTTCCATCTTCATTGAATCCAAAACTTTACTAAACTTGCTTTAAATTCTGTCAATTGTTTTTCCATTAAGAAAAAGAGGAAACTAATGAAAATCCTTGATTTTCGTTGTAAAATCACCACTTTTCTCTCGTAAAATTTATGTATCGATTTCCATTAATCAAATTTTTTATTTTATAATTGCAGCAAACGATTGACGACGCAGGGGGCTTTAAATCATCCATGGTTGATTGATTCAGCATTCAATACGGAATTGCATGTGACAAAAACCAAACTAAAGCGATATGTTATTAAAAAACGGTGGATCAAAGCGGTCAATACGATAATTGCGCTACGGCGGATGGGCGCCAAAATTGATTTAGATTTAGTTTAATTACACTGAAATGCCAAAAGAAACAACAACGACAGCCACCAAAAAAAAAAGAAAATAAACCAATCAATTTAGCCAAAAGGAAAATGTTCAATATTTAAAATTAACTGGTGTGAATTGCATTGTTTATCCAATGAGTCATGTATTTATTACTTATTATTACCATCGTTCCGATTTCAATAACCGAATTAAATGAATTGACAGAAGCAAAAAAAAAAAAACGTGGAAAATTAATTAGTTTTTGATGTTGGTGCTCATAAAGATGGTTGAATTGGTTCAATTAAAATTTCAAGTGAATTTCAGTCCAGAATGGAGTGCAACGCGTGTTTAGGGCTTCCATGCGAAATTCAATACATCAAAGACGCGAACAATATTGTGAAATCAAGTTAATCATTTTGATCGGCGGCAACAATTTACAGGCGGGATAAAAATGTAACCCGAAAAAAAGAAGAAGAAAAAATAAATCCGTGCATCGATCGAATGAGGACGTTATTTGAAAAGAGAGAGAGAGAGAGAGAGGGAGAGAGAGAGCACCTTGAATTGCTGCATGTGTCGCGCTTTTCGAATCGAATCGGCATTTTCATTGAGCATTTTCAATGGATGATGCGATTGTGCGCGACGACGACAACAACGACAACGGCCCACCATACGCACCTATAGTGAATTCCATGTATTCATCCGTTGTGCGAATGTTGATTGTGAATCATTTCAAGAATTTTTACATCATTAAGAGGTATTCTATTTATTCGCTAACAAGCATGCCTGAACAAAAGTTTTGCGTTGCCTCCTTTTTTGTCGTGTTTTCGTTTTTCGGTAAATTATGTGTTATCACTTTCTCATAGGCGCTGGTGCACAAAGGCCGAAGCGCGCGACGCTGTTCGCTCTTCTTCTTCCTCTTCTTTTCTGCCCAGTTGTGCACTGGCCACAGTCGATCGAATCCCATCGTCTCGTTTTTCGCGGGCAACAACAATAACAACGATATATCACATGTGAGATTCAAGCTGTTGGTCCATTGAGCAAAACTCAAAGGGAAAAGATAAAACTGTTTGTCGTCGAATTCGGACATCATTCCAATGGGAAGTCGACATTTGTAATCTTTTGTCTGCATGTGTTTTTCGGATGCATTAATACTGCACACAATATAAAAATATTTCAGTGGGCAATTTTATTTAACGAATGACATTGAGGGAGGAAAAGAGTTGCCAGTCCCAAAAATATACAACAGCCGAATGTAAAAGAATACAACAACTAAATGTATCGGAATGTAAAGTTGGATGTTCAATTTAATTAACAATCTATCACAAGTTGATGTACAACGGCAGCACCGTTGCACCGTTGCACCGTGTGGATCAATTAACCGACACCGACCTTTTGAGGAGAAAAAGAAATCAATGCACACACACTCTCTCAAGGAAGAGAAGGAAAAAAAACGAATATGCATGCGAACAAAAGAAAAGCGAAAAGCACAAAGAAAACGACAAAATTGAGAGAAGTTCAAGAAAAAAAAAGACACACAGAATATTTATTTGAAAGAAGGAAAAAAAAACGTCTATTTTAAGTGGCAAGACCCAATTAATTTTTCGTTCTTGTCGCAACATTGAAAGGCGCGCATCGACTTCGATTGAAAAGTGAACGTGTGAGCGCAAAGGCACACACACACACACACACTCAATTTGAGGCACAAAAGGAACCAAAACACAAAAACATCCGTATGTCTTTCGGCCAACCACTTGGATGATCGCTTGGTCTAGATTTGGTGGTGCGTAGTAAATCTTTTTGTGCGATTACGTGAATGACTACCAACGTCGATCTCGCGCACCCAACAATTCAATGGTAAATTCTTTTTCATATTCGATTTCTTCATTTCTGCCTCGGTCACATCGCTTTTCGTTTGTAATTCGCCTTCTTTCTTTGATTGGCTCTCGATTTGATTCGATTCCCTTTTTTCTTCGCCCAAATCGATTTATTGTTCCTGTGGCTTCAAAATCGCAATAATATTATTATTTATTAAATTATGTTTAATTTTTTCTATATCAGATTAATTGTGTGCATGATGTTTGTGTGTGTTTAAAAACTGTCCGATCTTTGAATAAGACAATGGTTCAATGAGACAAAACATTATACGAATTGTTATCGTCCGAGCTGATGCTTGATATGAATTCAACACCACAAGTTTCAAACCATAATCAAAATGAATCGAAACAGTGTAACAAATAAAAAATCAGTTTATTCAAAACAAAATCTTTTCCATTTCAAATTTTTCTAGATTTTTTTTTTTAATGCAGTTCATCTTTGGAACGCAGGCAATGCAGGAGAATGAGCCAATTATCTTAAAAAAGACATCGTTTATTTCTTTTGAGAATTGAGAATATGGATCCAAGCTTCGATAAGCTAAAATCCGAATCGGATCGAACAAATTGTTACGCACGTTTATTCAATAAAAAGGTAGTGTACGAGTTTAATTCTGGAACCGATCTCATGGAATTGTATGTGTGCATTGAAATTGCTTGTCTCCATTACTGTCGAATGAATTAACACGCATTTATCGCCTATTGTCAACTGGTAGGGCCGATTTCAATGCACGGCCAACCATTCATCGCTTCAACATATTCTAAATTTAATTAAGTCATGCGTTACATTGAATACCTTTGCATATTGAGCGACTATTATCGTTTGAACCTCAGCGAACCGACCACTATCACAACAATCGTAGAACGAATGCAAGACGTAGCACAATTAAAAATAATGAAAAATCACTTCAATTTTATATATTTTCGAGTAGTGCGTATATTTGATTTTTTCCTCTCTCCCCCTTTTTCTTTCTTGTTTTTCTCCGCACTAGTCATCGCGATGATAACAAATGAGCTTTCGATTATGTGTCCAATGTATATTCTTGTACGTGGAATCCAGGCAGAAATGATGGTGATGTAGAAATTTATTGTCAGATAGCACGCCGTCGGATTGTGGATATCAAATTATATTCTGTGCTCCTTTTTCACGTTTGCATCACATATTTATTTGTTGTTGTTTTCGTGGTTGGTGTGTGCGTTGTCCGCATCTTATGATATCACTTCTGAGATACCGGTTTCCACAGTATGCGGCATGCACCATTTGCTATTTGCAATTGCCGTCTGTCCGATCGGTAAATAGTTAATGATCGTTAATACGATTCCACCACATCAACTTTCATGAAGGCAAATTTTATGGCTTTAAGTTCACATCGACACAAAACGACATTAATCTTTGAGTCGGCTGAGGAGGCAGCAGCAGCAGCCGCCGCAAAAAAGAAGATAGAGTCGCCTCGAAAATGGCGAAGACGACAATATTGCTTAATGAAATGAACCATGTGCCGCAGTCCGGTGGCGGTCGGCTATAATCGATGCATACAGACTTACATGATCAGTAACATAGGCAAGTAATCGCACCTCATCATAATCACTCATCATTTTCAGTGCAACTTCGACCGCAAAGCACTCACACACATACACACACACCACACAATGATGAGCAAGAGTGGGACCGAGCGAAAAGGATAACATCAAAAATAAACTTCAGCAACTATTATTGCTATTAGCTATGAGCTTAATATATATCAGATCAGATAACTGCCGCAGCTGCACTTCATATTTGATGCAGAAATAGAATAGATGTATTCAAGAGAGAGAGAGAGAGCGAAAAAAACGGAGTCACAATCATTTTATTTATAACAAACAGCAAACACTCTGCGAACGAGAGCAGCAAAATGTTTCCACTTCAACGATACTCGAGCAGCCGCAAAAGGAACGATTTCTATCAGCTATGATCTGAGTCTCGCTCTGCCTAGAAAACGCCTGGATACTTTTATTTTATGCGATCATTCGCTTTATGCACAAACATTCGCATTAATTTTATTTCGTTTGCTAGGCTGGTGAGCATCGTTGCACAGCCGGATCTTTTGTTCTCGTTTTTGCACATCCTTCGCATTGTAGTGACGTTTTGAGTTAAATTTCTTGTTCGGTTAGAATTAAGTGATCGCGAAAATTTAAATTTTCACGGATATTTGCATCTCATAGAGTCTAAGAGTGGCACTGAGAATCAGAGAAAGGGTCGAAGAACATTTGCCAAATTTTGATAGAATTTGCTCGCAATTTCTCGTACTTAAGACACTTCCAATTATGACAAAGTATTGTTTTTAAATGCTTTATGTTGCAACAAGACATACCTTTGGTGTGCCAATGATAAAGCGGCTGTCGCCATTTACCCATGGTTGTGTGCAACATATTTTCATTTGCTTGTGTCTAATTTTTTTTTCCATACATTAAAATCAGTACTGATTTACGTTTCGCTCGTACCAAATGGCAATTGATAAATGGCCATACGTTATACATCGATACAACGGTCCAGCGAGCGATGCAGCTGCCTGTAATGTACGTTATTGGTCATCAAAAGCAAAACTTGTGGTCTGAGCTATAATTTATTTGAAGTTCATTTTTTTGCTCATAACAATTAATAATTGGATCTGTTTGATTTGACTTTGAACGCAACGAAGACGAATCATTGCATACATGCGGATTTTATGTGCGTTGCCGTTACGTTACGTTGTTGTTGTGGTTGATGTTTTTGTTGTTGTTTTTTTGTCTGTGGCGGCATCGCATGCATGTGGAGAGATATCGAATAACTCATACGAACGACGCTAAACACTATTATTTTATTGCTGACTCTATCCACGCCTCAGCACTTATTTTGCACTGTCTTCCACTGTCTTTCACTTTTATCTCTCTACTGCCTGCTAACTAATGATATTAGAGCAACAGTAGTCGTTCTGCACGACACTCCGATTGAACGAAATAGATGATTGAACTATTGATTTTGCAATGCAAACAGAACAGAGAGAGAAAAAAAGCCATCAAATTCCGAAGGATTGGCTGTCTAATTTAGTTTGAACCGGAATTGGTGCACATAAATTGGTATTAGTTTCTAATTAAAAATCGCGTAGGAGTTGGAAAGCAACACATTTTCCATTACCCATTGAGTCATGCTGTCAATCGTTTATTTTATTATGTCTGCAATAAAATACCCAACCATGGCCACCGTGCACGAGCAACGGAATTGAGATATGAGAACGATTAGAATTTGCACGTGCCGATTTAAACAGAAACATATTTTACAAGCGTGTTTATTGGCTGGAAATCCCATTGCCGCATTTGGCCATAGCAAACCGAATGCATAGAAAATAAACCGA